CTGCCTCAGTCCCACAGCTTGGGCAACAGGAGGGCCTTGATTCCCCTGGTTCATATGAGGAGAATCTCTCCTTTCTCCTGCCTCAAGGACAGGAGCGACTTTGGATTCCCCCAGGAGGAGTTGCGTGGCAAGCAGCTCCAGAAGGCTCAAGCCATCTCTGTACTCCATGAGATGACCCAGCAGACCTTCAACCTCTTCAGCACAAACGACTCATCTGAGGCTTGGAACAAGACCCTCCTGGACCAGTTCCGCACTGGCCTCTATCAGCAGCTGAATGAGCTAGAAGCCTGTCTGATGCCAGACGAGGGAGTGGAAGACACTGCCCCCATGAAGGACGCCCCCATGCTGGCCCTGAGGAGCTATTTCCAAAGAATCACTCTCTACCTGAAAGAGAAGAAATACAGCCTTTGTGCCTGGGAGATGGTCAGAGCAGAAATCCTAAGATCCTTTTCTTCAACAACAGGCTTGAAAGAAAGATTAAGGAGAGAGGACTGAGACTGCCTACAAGCTTGGGGCATGACATAGCATCCTTGGGATTGGAGTCTAGGAAGAAGAGACATGTCTACAGAGGAATGAGACTGATCAACATGGCAAACATTCTCTTGACACCGTCACACTTTCATGAGTTCTGCCATTTCAAAACTCTCAATTGTGTAATAACCAACTGTTATCGAATCAAATGTTTCCAGTATTTTCAGGAATGTCAGGCAATATGGTCTTCATTTTTACAGATAACTAGCCACTTACACATGACCGTGATGACGGATCTATTTATTATTCATTTAAATACCTATGTAATCAATTATTTATAAGATTTAAGTTATTTTTGTTCAAAAAATATTGTGCAACTTTATGATGTTAATATAAAAAATACGTTCTCTATATTTAGCCAATTTATTAATTTGCTTTGTTCATTAAATATTTACAAAAGGAAACTTCTTGTATTTGTTTATTCTTCTAGAATGGAACTCCAATCTTAATTTTGAAACATGATTAAGGAATGCATTTTATAATTCGTTTACCTGCCATTGTTATATTCAGGATATAAGGAAAATTTAGCCTAATGTAAGATACTGCTGTCTGACTCATTCACGATATAAAGATGAACATAACAAATACAGTACTTGCTCCATTGAACCTTTGATTCTTGTAGGGAAAGGAACCTAAAAACAATCACCATAGCCAATTCATGTCAATTCAGTGAAATGTTAAATGAGAGAAATGAGAAACCAGTGCAATCCTCTCAGAAGAAGGTAGACTAAAGTATACCAGGAAATAAAAAATAAAAGCAATGAGAGTCTTCATAAATTGACAGCTAAAGATTTAATTGAAAATGTCTTTTACCACTTGGGGTTTGCAGGAGTTTGCCATTTCCAAGGAATTCAATGCCTGGAACTTCATAACTGGCAACTGACAGGACAAATGTGAAGGTGGTCGTGTGGGGAGAGATAGTAGAATGAAACAGACTCAAGCTTGGTTCTGAGGAACTTCTGCTCTAAGAGGGACAGAAGAGAGGAGGTGCTATGGAAACACAGGTGGAATACCTTACATTAGAAGGACAGGGAGAATGGCAATAACAAGGTCTTAAGGGCAACAAATGTGCTTAGAAGAACAAGTGGACTAATGGAAATGTGGATTGGATCTGTCCACTCTAACAGGAAAACAGACAGCACAGTGAGAGGTGCTTTGGTGGAAGTAATCAGTGGAAACCATACTGGAGTAGGTGGAAAAGTGAAATGAGAAGTGAGAAATCAGTGCCATCTATACAGAAAATGTTACAGTTATGGGAGTGTTGCCTTTGAAATGGACGGGAGAAATCGGGTTGAACCTCTCATTAGTAAGGTAAAGAAGGAAAACTTTGGGTAAAATCATCTGAAACTACTACTGAACCAAAGAAATGCAGACAGGCCAGAAAGAGTATTCTATAATCAAGGAGGAAAGAGAGATCGGGCATGTGCTCACTTCAGCAGTACATATACTAAAATTGGAATGATACACAGAAGATTAGCATGGCCCCTTCGCAGGGATGACACACAAATTCTTAAAGAGTTCCATATTTTTAAAAAACAAAAAGAAAAACAGAGAGAGATGGGGCAGTTCTTGTGGAAATTCACAATATCAAACTTACAGCACCATATGGATTACAGACAACAAAAAAGAGTTGTACCTTCCAATTCCATTCTGATTGCATGAACAGGCGATGCTCAGAAACCTACTTAATCTCTCTGAGACTTGGTTTTCTTATTAAAAATAAATGTGTTCTCTCTACTGTATATTTGTGAGTCTTCAATGAACACGTGGATTTCAAAGCACTTAACACAGCATTCTGCATTGAGTAAGGAGTTATTAACAAGGTCTGGTAGGTGTTGCCCTATTTTTTTCCATAGTGCTGTATATGGGAACGTTACTTGTCTTTCCATAAAGGTCATAGAAACTGTGTGTCCTCCCATTCAGGTAACTAAGTTCCAAAGGAAGTAGCCTCAAAAAACAAATTTTGTAACAAATGGTAGAGACTCTCCCAAATTGCCACTCCCCTTTTCAAACGCGTGTCCTCTCTATACTCAGAAATTCATGGCTTGTATGTGTGCCTGAAAGAGGGGACTAAACATCTAGACAGGAATTCAGAAGATATGCAGTATCTATTTACTGAGTCTAGAATCTGGCATGTGCTCACCCTCCTCCTCACTCAGCATTCCACAATACACCCCCCCAGCATGGGGATTTCCTGCCTCACCAGATAGAAATCCCATGGCACCCTGGTCCTTCACTGCCTTCACCTTCTTGACCCTGCATACAGGGTTGCTTTCTGTTCTGCTGTCATTCGGTCTTCGTGGTTTCCCTAAACAGCAGCATACCACAAGTAGAAAGCAGAGCTTACAGAAAACACCCTTGCTCTGCAGTGACATCTGCAACCCAGGCGTTCCAGGGTTTCCACTGCCTATGACATCGTGGGAGCTGTAGCTAAAAGGAAAGAGAAAGCAGGGTCTAGTAGCCTGTGTGTGGGCTCTTGTAGCCCTCCCAGGGGAAGACTGCCCCCTGGTGGCCAGAAGTAATCAGGGTGACCACTGATTGAGACCTGAAGGCTGGTTTCAGATCTATGCAGAAGGTTCACCACTTCCTGGGGATTTCTCTTCCTGTTGCAAAAAGCCTGCACCTTAGCAAGAACAGATGCTACATGTAATCGCCCTGTTTCCTTACTCCCGCACTATGACAAAGTGAATGAGTGTGTGGCTTGGGGCACGACATGGCATCCTTGGGATTGGAGTCTAGGAAGAGACAGACACATAGTCGCTGCCTACAGGGGGCTGTGTAGATCAGAGTGCCCCCCTGATCATCACACCCTTCCCCTACTGAAGGTTCCAGGGGACAGGCAGAGCTGCCAATCTGGGTGTGAAACTCGATTCTATCCAGGAAAAACTCCGGATTCAGCGTGTACATTCTCCTATGTGAAGTGTTTTGTCCCCTGGCACATTGCCCTCCAAGGGTAAAGTCAGAAAGAACCCGTCCTAATATTGTTTACATTATTTGTCCATTTTTAATCATAATGTTTTTTCTTCTGTGGAGATGTTCGAGTTTCTTGTATGTCCTCAATATTTATTCCCTGTCAGATGGGCAGTTCCCAGATATTTTCCCCTGCTTCTCTCTGGAGACTGTTCACTGCCCCCTTTGCAGTGCAGAAAGAAGGATTTTGGTTCAATATGATTCCACTGATGTAGTTTTACTTTTGGGAGAGGTGCCCAAATGGTCACTCAGGTGTTACTCATTAAGTCTCCTCCCAGAACGATGTCTGGAGTAGTTCCCTAAATGTTTTCTTCTAGTAGGTTTGTTGTTTCATGTCTGAGGTTCTTATCTGTGTTCACTTATTTTTTTTTTTTTCTTTTTGGCTTTAAGAGAGTGTGGTGGGGGTCCAGTTTCTATTCTTCTGCATTTGGATATTCAGTTTTCTCAGTCCCATTTACTGACGAGACTACTTTTCCCCAGGAGTCTTCTTGGAGCCTTGGTTCAAAATCAGCTGTAAATTATTAGCTGTAGATAGGCGGATTTGTCTCCAGCTTCTCCACTGTGTTCCATCAATCTGTGCACATGTTAGTATATAGTAGTGCCATGCCACTTTGATTAAGACAGCTTTGCCAGACATTGCCAGACATTGAAGTCTCCTAGGGTGATCCCTCCACCTTTCTTCCTGTGGCCCAGGATTAATTTGACTACTCATGGCCTTTAGTGGTTCCGTAGAGATGTTGTTTTTGTTTGCTTCCTTTTTGTGTGAAGACTGTCATTGGTATTTTAGTAGAAATTGAAGTGCATCTGCAGCTTGCTTTGAGTAAGACTGTCATTTTAACAGCACAATTCTTAAGATCGAAAGGCCCAGGCTAACTTTCTGTTTGTGTGTCTCCCCTGCTATTCCTTTTCTCAGTGTTTTGTGTGTGGGGGGGGCGGGGGGATTGTTGCAAACGGTTTCCATCTTGTTGGTTACTTTTATTCCTGAGTATCTCATTTCATTTTTATACGTATTATAAATGGGGTGCCTCTTGATTTCGTCACCAGTAATTTAGTTATTTTTTATGAACTAAAATTAAAAATCTAAGCACACTGAAATAAATGTTAAAGATTGAAAGTTGAATAGACTGTAGCCTACTTGAAGAATTTTCCTGCGTTTCATTACATTGAGGAGTATAATACACATATTTTTATAATTATTTCAGTTATTTGGCACATCACAATTTATCTAAGTAAATAAATTAGATTGAAGTCACTAACCAAAGTTAGTCATGAAGTTAAAAGTCAGTAGGTTGGTAAACAGAACTGCTGAATTTTAACCTAAAATTTTCCCTGGTAGTACATTTTCAACCCTGCATTGAATATAGGAATTCAACGTTGCCATTCATTGTGTAAAAAGTGGAGAAATACATAGACTACATATAGAGAGATGTCGTTGACCTGTATGAAAGGTTGACAGAGCTCCAATTAAAAATAATCTTAGAAGGCTCACTGGTCAAGGAGTGGGGAGACAATAATGAAAATGAACATGAAAATAACGTGGGTGAGGAAATGCTCTGAACCCAAGTAGAGGGCACATAGGGAAAGCAAAAACAAGAGGAGAAAGTATGTGGGGACATCCAGAAAGCAGAAGCTAGTTATGTTCCCTATTTAAGATGAGGGCCCAGAGCACCATCTTCAGAGAACCTGGAGACCAAGGCTCAGGGTCGTCCACCT